TCGGGGGGGGGGGGGGGGGGGGGGTTCACACCCCCCCCTCCCCCCCAGAGAAATGATCCAGTCGGTCCCCCGAGAAATGATCCAGTCGGTCTCAAACTATGTGCAGTCGGTCTCAAAATTATGCGTTTGTTTACACGCAGAAGGAAATGAAATATTTTCGAAACTCAAGATAGACTCAAACTATTGAGTATTGAGTTGGAAATTTGCTCAAACCACGGATCAAACAGCTCAGAAATAATATGAAGAAATATTACGTACTTATTTCGCGAGTTTATGAACGAATTATCAGTCAAAACACGCGCAAAGGGATGAAGTTTCCATTTACTTTCCAAACATGGAGATATCTACTTTACGATTACGTGTTGGCACTTTTGTTTGGAATTTAGGTTCTGCAACGTCATTCACGGGTGATATTCTATATTAGCGAAAATTTCAAACCCCCAAAATCAGACTCCAAAATGCGATGAATCTCGACCAAAATAGCTAACATTAGTTACAATATTTCTCCGGTCCCTAAACTATATTTTTAAGATGCAAAGTGCAAAAACGAATTTCTAGCCGAGTTATATTAGGAAGTATGTTCACATGTAACACAATATGCATATGAATTTTGTTACCAAAGAGTTCTTTGTGCCTACTGCAATCAAGAAATTCGATCAGTGAACGACGCACTGGTTTATCTGAAATAACGGAGCGAGAAATTGCTTCCACTGACTAAGCGATGTTTCCAATTGTTGCTTACAGTCAGGCCCATAACTAGGTATATGAGTCAATCGAGTTCAAGTTCAATGACAGACTGTAGTTCTCTCCATGTAAAGAAGCATTATTGTTGCCCTACAGTGACGTAAGAAATGGGAGGCTGTGTGGGTGCACAAGTACCCCAATAACAAAAGTGCGGGCCAGCGACCAAATATTACAACAATTGAGCACAAACGCTTTTTTATTATGCACCTGATCAATGATGTTCGACCAAAAATATTTGTAATTCTTATCCTCGGGATTGGGGGCAAACTACAGTATAAAATTATATAGTCATTGTGTCACTGTAATATGAAATTGATTTTTCGTTTGAACTGCTCCCAGAATGCAGGAAATAGCCTTTCTAAGCCTTAGAAAATCAAAAATTTTCTGGGGGCAGCATGCCCCAGACCCCCCCCCCCCTGAAGTGTCTCGGTCAATCAAAAATCCTATAGTTACGCGCCTGACAGTTCCGCATCAGCCGAGCGCAGCTTTTCAAAGCTGAAATCAGTGAAAACTGTTATGTCAGTCAGTAATGAACCAGGAACGCCTTGGTGAACTCTTGACTCTTGCGTGTGAGCGCGATCTAACAGACGGCGATCGATCTTCAGACGAAATCGCTAATCCGTAGTCAAACCTTACTAAGCGCGGACACTTAATAAAAATATAACGTTTCACAGCAAACTGTACGTGTTCTTGCAAAATTCCTAATATATGCCATCAATTTCCATGCTTTGTACTCAACTCCGATTTTATTGCAACTCACCAAGAGTCGGTCTGGATTTACATTTCAGTGATGGGTCGGTCTCATTTCGTGACTACACCCTCCCAGTCAAAATCGATATGTCCGCCCCTGTTCATCTTTAAAGTTCTGCCTTCTGGTGATAAAATCCAAAATTATAAGCGAAAATCCTCATAATGTTTATTTGGAACCAATTCACGTCTCTCATTCAATTTATTTTATATGTTTATATTCAGATTGAAAGACTGCGATACCCGCCCTCAGTCATATTCCTATTATGCTCGACACGACTCGTGTGGCGAGGACACAAACGTCAAAGATTCCGACACGAGTTGCCTTTTTATGTGAACAACAAAACCTTCAACACCGAGCTGAAACACTGCTGCTTATTTCCTGGGAAAACGAGCCTGCAAGCGTACTGAACAACCTCCTACGTTTGACTTGTCTGACGTCATCCTCGTTCCCAGAGCCTCTTGGCCAACTGCGCGGTACGAGGTTATAAAAGTGAGTGCCAGTGCAGGAATAAATCAGAAGCTGTTGCAGTCGTTGGAAGTAAAAACTCAATCAGTTTTCAGGGAAGTGACATTTTCCAGGCAAGTGTGAGTTTTGATATAATTTTGTATAATATCATGCTGCAGCACAAATCAACCACTTACATAAAGGTCACCTACATTATATATCCACTCGTGTCTTTTGTATTCTGTGTGGCTTGTTGGTATTATAATATAGGTTTTCAAGAGGGTTTTCGAACATCAAAGCATGTATTTCTCAAAGTCGCAAGCTAACATTTGCTCTCGTTATTTTTCAGAAAGTAAACCATTCACAAGTCATGAATTTTGCTTTGGCTTTGTTTCTGTTGTGGTGCGGCCTGACTATTGTTGAAAATTTTAAACAGGTATATAAATATCTTTCTATTCACTTCGTAGAAACTTTAACCCATTAAGTTGCATTGCGCCATAATTCTCCCTACTCGGTTATTATTTTTTCTGTCTAACGCCAAATTATCATTTAGTCTTAGTTAATTAATCTGGTTGCAACATGAAATATATTTAATTTAAATCAGTTTCAGTAGCACAGCAGCTGATGCATAAAGGGTCCTCTAAGAAGTTTAGAACTGATAGAGCTGTATGTATACCGATTGACCAATATATAGCACGGCTTTTACTGGACCGCCTTTATAGCTAGGTAGTTTGGTTCAGGTTTTCTCCTGAGAGCATTAGGCAAGACTATGACTACTAACTGGACATCTAGGGAGATTAGTCTACAACTGGTAACACCATCTATAAATATAGTTTAATTTTGGTTTCTCCCAAAAGCAACAGATGGGTTAATTGACCGTTATGGAGAACAGTTAGCAATCTAGAAATTATAGAGCCTTTTCGCCTTTGACTCGAGCTTGTATACAGTATATGGTCACTCATACTATATTACTTAGTTCATGCACAATAGAGCTACATCGTTTGTAAAGTTAGGGAGGAGTAAACTGCATGGATGCTCAATTAGCCATTGTATAATTTATGCATGATTGCTGGCGGAGGTATGTTGCCTTCGAGTGCCTTCGAGTGCCTTCTAGTATTAATTGATTTCATTCTTCACTGTAGCGTATTCCAGCAATGAATAGTTATGATCCTGGTACTTGTAACAAGGCAACTCATGGGAAGGAAGTTTTGGTCAAAGACAGAACTGATGAAGAAATAATTCTGATTTGTGTCAAAGATGAAAATGTTTATCAGTGGAAACCCACGGATGGTAAGTCACGGCCAAAAAAATTAAGCAAAATTGCCTCGTATGTGAGCCTTAGCTTTAACATAAATTTTGACATGTTACGTTGGCAAAAACTTTAATTCGAACTAATTATCCAACCCTACTGAAACATTCATCGCATTAATGAAACACGTACATTCATGATCCAGCATGATCAATTCTTTATCCAGCCATATAGGATTTGGTCAAAACTTTATCCAGTCCTAGGACTAAAATCAAAACATATGCAAAAATGAAATATTTCATGCAATGCCATACTTCTTATTCTTCAAGGTTCGAAGAACACAGTGGGCGAATTTTTCAACCCTGGTCATAATTGTTCTGATATTTTGGACAGGCTTGAAGACGCTAAAGATGGATTTTACTGGATCGCTTTGAAACGATCAAATCCCGTGAAGGTTGGAGTTTTTATTCACTTTTTGTTTAGTTTTTCTTTTCAAACTTTTTGCTCCATGTTTTGCGGTTTATATACCATATCTCTTGTTTTCAATTTTCAAAATCTTTCTCTAAAAAAACACTCTAGCTTTGGATGAGCCAAATCGGAAATTTGACCAATTTCCTGGACATTTCATGTTTGACCAGGATTTTGGTTCATTTAACTAGAAAATTCTTGTTAGGTTAACCAGACTATATATGTAGATATAATACTTGGTTATAGACTTGGCATGCCCAGCATAATCCTGGTTACCTTAACCAAAATTTCCTCGTTATATAGATCAACCAAATACGAGGGTTCATATAGTAGGGTTTTTAAATCCCGAATCATGTCCTCAAATTTTGTCATTGTTCTGTACGCGGTTTCTGTCAATTTTTCATCTCGCGTAATGCGGCTTTTTAAAATCCTAAATCCCGCCATTTTTCTCAAATTTTATCTTCCCTCTAGGTCTTTTGTGACATGACGACAGACGGTGGGGGATTCATGTTGGTTGGCCGCAAACGTGATTCCGTCACGTGGACAGTTCCATCCAATAACAGGACAGTTGAACCGTACGGTGAACCTCATTGGTCGAGCTCCCTGGGTGATGCACCAATCCTAGATTTCAGAGTGCAGATGGCGACTAGCGAGGATTTTAAAGCAACAAAGGCACACTGGTAGGTTTCAGGAGGATCTAATCAAGCTAATTTAGCCTGCGCGCAGTCTCAAACGATCCCATGAGCTCAGTAAATGGACCTCACTTATTGTTTCACTTTGTAGCACAGTTGTTAATGTCTTTGCCTTTCATATCTGTGACCAGAGTTTGATTCCTGCAGTATGTATAGTTATTAGATTAAAGTCTATTGACTCCGCAAAACATGATAGGTGGAACCTCTTCGAGGAAGAACAAATATAGAAACAGATTGACCCAGATCTTCATTGAGTCGAGACACGTAACTAATGAAAAATAATATTGGCAATTTGTTAAGGTCCTATAGATTACGATCAAAACGTCCATTGAAGAATCTAATGATGAATACTGCTGGCTGTGATCGTAGATCAGCTGGGATTGGAGATATTGCTTACGTTAAAGATCTTCTAAGTAAGAGCATTGTTACTACAAAGTTACGATGCTCCAAATTTGGTTTTGCCTATCACCATTTGGTTAAATTTGGATGGGTATGTTCTATGTATTCACATGATATGTATTTGTATGTTTGTAAACTGTTTACACTGGATCAGATTTGACTGGATATGTATTTGTGGTTCAAGCCCGGCTCTTCCACTCATGCCAGCGGAATTTTGTTTGTTTTTAATTTATTTCAGAATAAGATGAATTCATGTTTGCAAAAACCATGTCCATGGGGCTTTGCCTTTCATGATGTTGTAAAGGATCAAGTTGATTTCTACGGAGGATTTAGGTTAGACCTCCTCTTATTCTATATGCCGACATCTTGAATTATTTAGCATGCATGCAGTCTCATTGTTTGATGTCATGCAGACTCTAGTATAGTTACGACATCATCACTTGTAATAATGATATTTTTCCCAAACAGTTTCAGTACTGCAGGAAGCATTTCTGGCATGGAATACAACGCAACTGCTTCAGTAGGATGCGACAATGGATATGTAAGAACATTTACTTTACAAAATATATTGGAAAACCTTGCTTCCTACCATATCTTAGAAAACCTTGCTTTATAATATAAATCTTACATCTATACATACAACTGGGTTGATTTGAAATTATATATATTATCTGCGTCCGTCATATGTGGAAATTAATTTCATGCGAATTACTCTGCTTAGTCTGCTATTAACAGAGCCTTGCAACTGGAACATAAGACCATCTAGTAGGGTAAGGATTGAGTATTACTTAAAAACTAAACCATTTACGAGACTAACTTTAATTTTGCACATATACATGACATCTCAATTTAATACAATAAACTATATATACAGTATAGTAAATACAGTCACAAGCGTTAAAAAGTCGGTGCTATTAATTTCGATTCGATATCAATAAAACCTATATTCGCTAACTGATTTTAATTGAACTCGTCCAATGTCATGGCGTATATTAATTAACCGTTTGAAAGGTGGGAAACTTGTTAACCTAGAATATTGTATTTCTCTTACATAACTAGTGTTGTGGTTGCTACGGTCCTGTGGGAGGTACGAAAGATTACTGTGCTGGACATTGTAAAGCCATTAATGATGGCATAGTTACAAAAACTGTGTTCACGTGGTTTTGGGTGAGATCCAGTCTTCCTAAGAGACTCTGGAAGAAATGCATGGATTATCAAGTGAAGAAAGATAATGGGAAATTGATCTCGTATAAGTTGGTTGGACACAGTGTTATTCCTGTTGAGGTAAAGATATAAGACACTTGAAATCTTTATTACGTCCTTGAGTTGGACAAACTTTTCATGAAGTCCTATGACTGGACGAAGTATGCATGATCCAGTCCCAGGAATGGTTAAAATTATCAATTCCGCCTAGCCGGACTAGATATAGACTAGGAATTATGAAGTTTATTCAATTAAGGTTGTCCCCGAGCAAAGCGCGGAAAAGTCGAATACGAGCGCGAAAGGCTGCTGGGAATCGCTAAAAAATTCATTAATTTGTTAGCGATTCCCAGGAAGCCTTTCGCGCTCGTATTGGACTTTTCCGCTTTGCTGGGGGACAACCTTAATTGAAATAGCTGTATACAAATATTTTAAATCGATAATGTTATTTCTGCAAGCAATAGTTTCCATATTTTAACAGTAAACTTTCACTATTCTGTCATGCATTGACTGAGTTTGTTATATGATTTAAAAAAATTCCATGAAAATAATTCATGTTGATGATCGTGTTTTTTTGTCAAGGGTCGTTGCGGAAAAGACTTCACACTTCTACACGATGGGGTAAGTTGGAATTTTAAGAAATATCTGATATTAATATATTCGTTCAATTATCAGCTTTCAATATTCAACTACTGTAGAAGTAAGGAGAATGATGTATTAGTATTATTTTACTCAAGGTTTATATGTAATAGGTAAAGCACCCGGAGGAGTGCTTTATCAGATATAAAACACGAGTGCGCAGCACGAGTGTTTTATATCTGATAAAGCACGACTACTACTTAAAGCGACCCATTTATATGTTAACGTACTTGTAAAATGAATTTATTTGTTTACTTTATTAGTATGCACTGCCCATGGGGACAATCTCACGCTTTATTAATATGCATTTAAAATCTGAATTAATATTCATCAGACTTTCATAAACATCCCTCTAACATGACTTACTGATCTTTAATGCAGTTTACAAGTGTGTACATGTGACCTAAATACCGCGTCGTGATTTGTTTGTATATAGCCTTATTAATTATTCATGCATTCAGTACAAATTTAAATGTTATTAATATTTTTTTAGATTGTAGTCGTACCAGACTCCTCTGCCGCGCAGAAAGTGCCTGCTATTGATGGTCTACTGGAATATCGCAAGGACAAACAAGAACTTTATCTCAGATCGAACAAAACATGGAATGTACTGGCCCCAAAGGTAGGACTGTAAAACTTTTTAAAAATCGAATCACACCTTATTGGTCAATTTATCTTTGTCCTTTCACACATGCGCAGACATGACACTCTAAGCTAAGGGTCCAGTGTTTTAGAATTATTACTGTATACTTGAATAAAAAACACACTTTAATTTTGTAGCATATATCATGTATTTAATATTTAGTAGCTTGTATAATTTCGCTTTTGTTTTGCTTTAAACTATGCAGGAGACGGACAGAACACACAAGTTAAATTTGGATAAGATTACGAAACTCGAGCAGAACTTGACAAATGTAAGTTATCGCAATTTACGTATCATGTAGGGAATATTATCTAATTTTTCTAAAAAGCTAATAATTCTAATTATTACTTCCTACGGTAGTGATAATGTTGGGGTTACTGTTACCCTTTGGCTTTGGCTTTGGGACAACCAAAAGGTTTTTGGTATATCTGCTCTAGTGCCTTTGTTTCCATGCTTTTCCGGCAATTGTGGATAAGTATACTGTCCCAGTACCTGCACGGAGACACAAAATTTTGTATCCAATTTTTTTGGTAGCCAGTAGAATCTTTCCATGCAAGAATAGTATAACATAGTCATACTTTTTGTTCCACTAAATGGTTTTAATACATCATTTTATTTATTTATTATTATCATCCTGTTTAGTTGGAAAATCTAGTAAAGAAACAAGATATCGATAGTTTAATCACTAAGCTGGTGAAAGGGGGGTGTAAGTAGAAAACTAAGTATTAATCTGTTGTCTCGAGCGGAATGTGGTTGAACTCACATCTTCGCGGATTTCTAGACCTGAGCCAATGGGATTGGAAGCGAATTTTATCCAGTTTTTCTGCACGAAATATTCACGTAACGACTTTTATAAAACTCTTCTCTTAGAGATAGGACGTGCTGTGTTTTAATTCAATATATTACTGAATTGCCTTCAAAAATTGAAAACTATTTTCATATTGAGAATTGATATTATTAATATTAATCATATTGTTAATTTCGTTTGAATTGATTTTATAATGATTTATTCTTCACTAAATCAGACAGAACAAATACTCCCAAACCAGAAAGCCTCAGCGTGACGATTAGCCTACATGCATGGCAGATGGTACCCACGAAGGATTATCTGAAAGACATACAGGACGTCTTGTGCTAGAACCCCGCCGCCACAAATGAAGTTAAAACTCATTACTAATTCCCATTTCAGTTTCTCTCTTAATAATGATCGGTCTCATTAAACTAATTTAGTTCTGCTACCACAACGTAAAGAATGCTTTGGATATAAATGGCTGAATGAAAGCAGCAGAAACAAAAAATCTCGAGCTGCCAACAATTGTGACGATCGTCTTTCCACGGGATGGTACAGATTTGGAGGCGGAGCTGGGATCAAAATTCTGACATCATGTTTACGCTCCCCACAATGTGGAGCTGCTAGCCCAGGTTGGATGAATGGTACTCACCCTACAGTTGTTCAAGGAAAGGTGACTAGGAACATGTGTTTTGGTTGTGGTGGCTATTGTTGTTATGCGCATACATATATCGAGGTTGTGAATTGCGGACAGTATTATGTGTACAAACTAGATCGTCCTCCTCATTGTAATTTAAGATATTGTGGATCAGATAATTAATGCAGATTGTTCCACGTACATATTACACGAAGCATTTTCACTACTTACGGGCGGGAGATTGAACTGAGATTGGATTTGATTAGACACCAACTCTCTAATAAACTCTCCTTATCTAATATATAGACGTCCCAGTCAAACTAGACTCTTTATTGAGCATCTCTGTAAGAGCTATAAAAGATGAAGAATTTCGCTATCTCACTTTACAATCTGCAAGGAAGTGTCGTTAAAACTAAGCGTAAAAACTGCTGCTATAAGATTGAACAGCCCTCTCTATAGGGTCCTTATCTTATAAACGCCCCCCTTTGAAGTATGAAAATTTAATCAACACCCAGGTCCCAGGGTGTTTTTTTTTAAGGTGTTTTACATCATTTGTGGTATCCTATCATTATTAGTTGATTTCAGTTTTGTCGAATGTTTTGTTATCAGTATATAGATATACGAACAGTTAAAAGCAAAAACAGTTCATGGAACATAGACTTCATAATTATCATTGTTGCACGCATATATTGTAGTATGCATATACTAGCAAACTGAGCAAAATATATAATCTGCATGCATGGAAAAACGTTTCGGATCTACGCCTATAGGCGATAATCGTCCACTGAAAGTGAGACGGTAATTTGCTGAATGCTAGCTGGTTCATACGCCGGGACTGGATTAATTTGGAACTCTGGACAGATGAAACAGGACAAATTCTGGAGCATTCGAGCAACTTGCAACGCAACTTCTAACACAGACTAAGAGCCATGTTATCAGTAGTGTGACAGAGGAAGAGGGGGCTCTTTATCCCCTTAGGCATATTTGGTGCGGGGGCCCCTGTTGACTGTTGTCATTGTTTGACTGACATATTATATTTATATTGAATATTTACAGAATGTTCTGGAAAATTCCGTGTCTATAACAATAACAGTCTCCAACGGCAACACAACTAATAAGAATAACTTTTGTTTTATTTGAGATGGAAATGATGGAATAACAAAATCAGTTACCATTGTCGATGTTGTGTCCATGGAGGCTTTATTATTTAGCATTATTAATTTTGCATTTTTCCATTGATTCTTAACTTGCATTTTTTACGTTTTCTAATTTTCTGGGCGATAGGCCGTGGCTGGTGGGGCCCTTAACTGTCGGGGGCCCTTAGTTTCTTAACTAACTCTACCCAATGAGCGTTAAGCCACTGGGATGATGTTGTCTATATAAAGTATAGTCGCAGGAAAACTCCTGTATAGTATGGCCTACCATTTACTCCGCCGGCGTTTCATCACATTTCTTTCATTTCTCATCCCTTACTGTAAGAGTATGTTATGCAAAGAAAGTGTCGGCAGAGTAGAATGCGGCTTTTTAAATACTTGTGACTACTTTTAAATAGCATGGCTCTGTATCTGAAATAGACCAATTCGGCTAACGTTTATTTATACCCAATTCACAACTTTAGATGCTATAACTCACATGCCTATACATGCAGGGTGTATAAAAAAAAACGCAACCTCGGAATTTCCTAAGAAATTACTTTGCAATTCCTAAGCATAAAAGATTTTAGGCCCCTGGGAATTGAAATCGAATTGCTAATACAGGGTGTCTCAAAAAAAACCAAAATCATTGAAATTGACGTATTGTTCGATATTCAATGCCCTAGCACTAAGTTAATCCCACGAGTGCATAAAAGATTGACATAAGTACATAACTGCTATAATGAATGGTAATACTCAGCGTAAACTTGTTATGTCAGGCATAAAGTACTAAACCCACGAATGCATATTACGCATATTACAATTTACGAAGCATTTTTAAATTCCCATGAGCAAACAAACGTTCACTTTACAAAGATATTTTAATTTTTTAAAACAAATTAATCCCCCTGTCAAAATCCTTTGTGTTACGGCATTGAAATTCGAACAATACGTTATTTCAATGATTTTGGTTTTTTTTGAGACACCCTGTAGATCATATTACTGTTGTTGTGCATTAAATAAATGCATAAATTTTGCTTTATGCACTGGCGTGTGCAGTAATTTTGACAGTTGTGCTATTTTAAATTCCCAGGCGCCTAAAATCTTTTATCTTTAAAACAATGTCGATTACTTGGGAAATTCCGAGGTTGCGCTTTTTTTGATACACCCTGTATATAGTTACTATTGTTGTAGTTTACAGAAGCATATAGATTAGAACAAAGGTATATACAGTAACTAAGCTTTACTGAGGGGATGATTCGCATCGGGAAAAAATCTCGAACTGGACCTGGGTGTGGAACCCAGGTGGACAGAACATGAAGCGGAACAAGCAGCGACAAAAGCAAAACTGACGAGAAAGGGTTGGAAAGCATGGGTGGGAAGCTCGAAGCAGCTGATCGCGAACGCCTCGTTGCTGGCTCTTCATTATATATTCACAATTTATATTCATACAACAACGTGTTATGCGCAACAGTGTGGGCGTATCTTAATTCCCAGTTAACTTCCTTTTATTGTGCCAATGAAACACAAATTTAAAACACAAAAGAACGATTGAATAATTAGTACATGGCATGGTATTTTCCTTTTGAATCATATAGCGGCTAGCCTATAGGCAGAGCATAGAATTAAAGCTTGCTTAATTAAACTCCTTTTAACCATGCATGGCGAGGCTTACATGCATTTTAAGATTTGCCTTATATTTTGCTGATATTTCGCCAGGACATTATTTGAAAAACTCGAAATACAGAAATTGGAATAGAGATCGAATGGCGAACATGTTTACCGAATTGGTTACCGAACTGATTTAAGATGTTTAGCAGAGTACATTATCAAGATATGCAGGTATCTATAAAGACCGATTTACAATACACTACACAACTTTTGCCTAAAACTGTCGCATGCAACCTATACTTACAACTTGAGTTGTATGGCTGTGTAAATCAAGCACACAACTTACCTGCGTTGTCGTAGGCGTTGTGTGCTTGATTTACACATTAAAATCGACACGTTCTCTGACCAAATTAGTAATGACGAGCTTTCGGGCTGTAGGTCTGATCGATAGCGTAAAGCGTGAAATAGATGTCTAATCTCAGTAATTAATTGTCTATAGGTATAGAAATTTCAAAACCCTGTCCAAAACTGATATTCAAATCATGCCATTATATGTAATAAGAAAGCCTTTATACATATGTATCATAATATATTGCCAAGTATATTACAAGCCGTTCTAAAGTCAAGAGAGTTGAAGAATTTTTCAAACCTCTAACTGTGCTTTGATTATTTTCTATAAACTTATAGTAGGCAGACTTCATTGTTTCATTTCTCATTGACAAATGAATAGTCAATACTCAATACTCATTCACAAACCGCTGTCGAGAAGGCAGACTTTATTGTTCCATTTCTCATTGACAAATGACAATAGTCAATACTCATTCACAAACGTACCGCTGTCGAGACTCAAACGAAGCGAAAAATATAATGCTGTAGCTTATGAAAATGGTAAAAGAAATGGCGATTCATGTGTTTTCTGAACCTATAAACCTAGTACTGTATCATGTTCGCATATAACTTGATTGAATATTTGAGTATTCTCCGGTCAGAGTTCGCGTTATCGATTTTTCATCTTCCGACATTTGGCAGAAACGGAGCCCAGAATTGAAATCTCCATGCTCAAATTAGTCTACATCGAAAATTTCATGACGTTTGGAAATTCATAATGCATAGTTTTTTCACGGCATTTAGCCACAGTTAATAGGAACTCCCATATATACAAAAGCTTACAAATGCATTTACATGCAGTATAGTAAAAACAAACATTTTCAAAACGCCACAACTCGCGCGCTGAATATCCAAACATCATCGGAACATTTCGGTGTAGACTAATTTGAGTATAAAGATTTCAATTCTGAGATCCATTTTTGGCAAAGATCGGTGGATTTTGAGATGAAAAATTAATAACGTTAACTCGCATCCGAGAATTAAATGTACATTAAATGAAGATATACTATATGAACAAGTTGCCTTCATCTTTAAAGTTCTGGTGATAAAATCCAAAATCCTCACAATGTCCAAATAAAACCAATTCACGTCTCTCCTTCAATTTATTTTGTATGTTTATATTCAGATTGAAAGAGTGATGCCCACCCTCAGTCATATTCCTGTTATGCTCGACACGACTCATGTGGCGAGGACACAAACGTCAAAGATTCCGACACGAGTTGCCTTTTCATATGAACAACAAAACTTTCAACACCGAGCTGAAACACTGCTGCTTATTTCCTGGGAAAACGAGCCTGCAAGCGTACTCCTACGTTTGATTTGTCTGACGTCATCCTCGTTCCCAGAGCCTCTCGGCCTACTGCGCGGTACGAGGTTATAAAAGCGAGTGCCTGTGTCGGAATTAATCAAAGCTGTTGCAGCCGCTGGAGTTAAAAGCTCAATATTTTTTCTGACGACGTTTTCAGTTCAGGTAAATGTGAGTTTTGATTGATAGGGATAAATTTATTGGTAAATGTATATCAGGCTAGTAGTTACGTGAACCTGTTTTGATGAAAATTTTGAGCAAGAATCATATAAGTCTGACCGGAAATCTACGAAAAATACTAGCACATAGATCTTCCGCATACAGGAATCGACTGTCAGCCGCCCTGCGGATTCCAGTGCAGTGCTTTGACCACTGAACTACAGAGTCCAGTCCATAAGTTCTTGTACAATATAGTTGGTGATCCAAATGAGGGCCTAGTTGCATTTTTCAAACTACTCTTGGTTAATAGGTTAATAAATGTATAAAATATAAACATAATATGTAGATCACAAATGCACAAGTTAGAATTGTATCTCCGGTTATTTTTCAGAAACAAAACTACGGACATGCAGTTGATGGCGAATTTTGCTTTGGTTCTGTCTCTCTTGTGCTGTGGCCTGACTTCTGTTGAAAGTGCCAAACAGGTATATGTGTCAAGTGTCAACATATTTCATAGAAACTCTAGCTTAACTTTGTGAGTGAAATTTATCCGGTTTACTGGTTGTGGTGGCGGTTAGTACATCATGACCATTCAGTTGACCTCCGGAAAGTACAGAGTTTAGAACAGATAGAGCTATATTCCATTATCTGCCGATGACTTTATAAATAAAGTAAAAAACAAAATCGAAGTTCCATTCTCAAACTCAAACTTAAGGCTCTTTTCTACTCATCGCAATAACCCTCACAAGTGCATGGTGATTGGATTGACTCACTCGCAGCGAGTTTGCAAGTTGACTCCTGCAATGAATGGAAAAGGGGCTTTACGTATAATGCTTTGTCTCCTTGTAGCTGTCTTGTAACTTGTATTTCATAATATAGATGTAGACCTACATCGTATGTAAAGTTAATATAAGTTTCTTAGCTTTCCTGTAGAGAACCATTGAACCAATAAGGAACGGTCCTTACTGGACCTCAAGACAAAATTTAATATGATTGATGAATAATTAATTCTTCACTCTAGCGTGTTCCAGCGTTGAATAGTGTCGACCCTGGTTCGTGTGGCGAGCCAACTCATGGTGAGGAAGTCTTAATCAAAGGCAGAACTGACGAAGAAATAATTGTGATTTGTGTCCAAAATAAAGAAGGCGTTTACCAATGGAAACCCACGGATGGTAAGCCAACAGATTTAAGCAAAATCGCCATAAATTTTGGACATATTTTATATCCTAAATAGGACATGATCAATCCTTCATCCAGAGTCCTAAGATTTCAACAAAACTTTATCAAGTCCCAGGACGTGATCAAACCCTTGTATAGAGCAAGGGGTTCGTCATGATTAAACCTTAGGATTTCATCAAACATAAAGAAAAATTAAATGTGACATTCTATTCTTCAAGGTTCAGAGAACACAGTCGGTGAATTTTTCAACCCTGGCCGTAATTGCTCTGATATTTTGGACAAACTTGAAGACGCTAAAGATGGATATTACTGGATCACTTTAAAACATTCAAAACCCATAAAGGTTGGAATTTTCATTCGCTTTCTTAGTTTTCTTCTCACAAATTTGTTGTTCTATGTCCCACGTGCGTAATACAAATTAACACAAAATTTGCAAATTTCACAGGGCTATATTTTCCGCATTTTACAACATTTCGCAACCAAACTTTGCAATCTTACTAATTTTAACATGCTCTTTCTAGCTGTGTCATGGATTTTGTTCTTCTTTCCTAGATCAAAATTTAGTCTGTAGCTGGAAGCCTGGAATCATCCATTGAATGCCATGCTATTTTTGTTTACCAAAGAAATTTTAACCATGCATGCATGTGTTTTATTTTCCACTTTTTCCAGTTTAAATTTGATCTTCTCGCTAGGTCTACTGTGATATGACAACAGACGGTGGAGGTTTCATGTTGGTTGGCCGCAAAACTAATTCCATCACGTGGACAGTTCCATCCAATGGCATGACGGTTAAACCGGATGGTAAACCTCATTGGTCGAGCTCTCTGGGCGATGCACCAATCCTGGACTTCAGAATACAGATGGCGACTCGGAATAGTTTTAAAACTACAAAGGCACACTGGTAGGTTTCAAGTGGTTCAAATCAAGCTTTGCAAGTCAGTTTAATTTAAACATTATAGGAACTTTCCTTACACCATCCGAACAAAAACTTCCTAAAGCCCATTTTCCACTAGACCAATCACAGAAGGCCCATAACCTAAGTTGGTCAAAGACCGATAACACTTTGAATATCTATAACATTTAAACATTTGCACCCCCCCCTGGCACCCCAAGATCAGGTCAACAGGGGTGCACACCCCTGTCCACCCCCACCCCTATAAATCCACCACTGAGTAAGGATACAAAATACAACTGAATCCGATCCTTGAAGAATTAAAGCTAATTTAAATTGAGTCGAGAGTAGCAGGTCCAAAATTTACTACATTTATCTAATGAAAAAAATACTGGCAATGCATTAGGTTCTATAGATTACGATCAACACGTCCATTGAAGCAATTGATGGTGAATACTGCTGAATGTGATAAAAGATCGGCTGGAATTGGAGACATCGCCTACGTCAAAGATCTTCTGACTGGGAATATTGTTACCACATTGTTACGATGCTCCAAATTTGGTTTTGATCATCATTCTGTGCAGGATGGATATGGATGGGTATGTTCCTGTGTACTATTCACATTGTATGTATTTGCATAGTCTATTAAGATCATAGATATCTTATATACACTAGATAGTGCATCTAATTATTCTGAAATTCAAAAATTGAAGCCGTGATTGCAGTCTCAGGTCGTTCCCATAAAATGAGAGAAGATTCGTATGTTTTCTATTTCTTAAACAGGGAACTTAAACATTAAGTTAACCCTATTCCAAATACGTTTTTAAACTATTCAAATGATGAAAGTTATTGTTGTTTTTAAGCGTTTATTAGCAAGTGGGAACGACCAACATGGCCGCCATCTATTCAAATGGGGGTAACCGCTGGAATATTCTTGGCTTCAATTTTACTAAAAGAAATGCGCTATCTAGTGTATATAAGATATCTATGATCAAGATCTGATGGTCTGGAAACTACGCAGAAGTCATTTATGTTTTGTCTGAGTTTATGTTAATTTGTGTACGGTCACGGTGATTGAGCTCATTGTAAAGTAAAAAACAAATTCTGAAAAGACAAGACATCTTGAGAATACAATATATGTTTCAAAACAAGACCCAGGTTGAGACTGAAAATTTTCGACTTTATTTCAAAGTCATCTTCAGACAGTCATCTTCATTCATCTTCATCATCTTCATCTTCTTCTTGATCTTCATCTTCGTCTTCTTCTTCTTGACATTCATCTTCATCATTTTGATCTTCATCTTCATCTTCTTCTTGATCTTCATCATCTTGATCTTCATCTTCGTCTTCTTCTTCTTGACGTTCGTCTTCATCATTTTGATCTTCATCTTTGTCTTCATCTTCTTCTTGATCTTCATCATCTTGATCTTCATCTTCGTCTTCTTCTTCTTGACGTTCATCTTCATCATTTTGATCTTCATCTTCGTCTTCATCTTCTCCTTCATCTTCGTCTTCTTCTTCTTGACCTTCATCTTCATCATCTTGATCTTCATCTTCTTCTTCTTCTTCTTGCCTTCATCTTCATCATTTTCATCTTCATCTTCGTCTTCATCTTCTTCTTGATTTTCATCATCTTGATCTTCACCTTCATCTTCAGTCATCTTCATTCTGTACGAAGGTGACTTTGAAATAAAGTCGAAAATTTACAGTCTCAACCTGCGTCTTGTTTTGAGTCGTATATTGTACTCTCAAGATGTCTTGTCTTTTTGGAATTTGTGTTTTACTTTACTTTTTTAAATTGTCGGCTGGTCGTGGTTTTTGAGCTCGTTGTATTTTCGTGAAATTAAGTAACCGCCCAATAGGGATACAGTAGCTGAGATGAAACGTGTAACCACGATGAATAATATTTAACTAAGTTGAGACAAAGAATTTGTGCACGGTGAGGTTCAATTCAACATCAAACAAAAGTCTTCTATTTTGTAGCTTTGAAGTTTGCCAGGCTTCCAGACCATCATAATAACTTGACAAACCAAGCCCGTAGCTGGCTCTCAATTTCTGTGGGGGCACTGCAGAAAGAATGTAACAGAGGGGTTGGCATGATTCTGACCCAAACCCCCCCCCCCGCCCGTCGACAACTTTTTAGGTAAAAAAATTTCCGGACCATTACGTTGCAATTGCTTTCCAGGTACCCTATCTCAATTTTTCATACAAAATTTCGGTACTTAGCCCCCCCCCCCAAAAAAAAAAAACCCAACAACATTGACAGCTATTAGTTCTGCAAAACGTCTGCAGGGGCTAAGCCTAGCCTCCTCCGCAGGCCTCTCTACGGGTGAGATGCCTGCGGAGGAGGCTAGGCTAAGCCCCCGGTGTAAGATTTCTGGAGGGACTCGAGCTCCAAAGCCCCCCCCCCCCCATGCTTTACGCTTATGAGGTTATTTATTTTAGGCCACAAGCAATCTATTTTCATACAAAAATTGAGTATGACTATGAGCCTCAAGTATTAATCTTCTACGGTCGCTGTAGTACTGTATATCATGGCAAAAAATGTGGAATAAGGGGGGGGGGCATAATTTTAATTTTATTTCCGAGTGGGGGGGCACTGCCCCCCAGGCCTCCCTCAGCTACGGGCCTGTGACAAACTATGGTATTTGTATGTTTGTAAACTATTTACAGGTTCATGTTTAATTTTCAGCGTAATATGAATTCGTGTTTGCAAAAACCATGTCCAAGGGGTTTTGCTTATGATGCAAAAGATTGGAAAGATGACTACGGAGGTTTTAGGTGAGACTTCATTTTATTCTATTCGCCTGCGGGTTATTACGATATCATCGCTTGTATTAACTAAATTTTTCCCAAACAGTTTCAGTACTACAGGAAGCATTTCTGGAATGGAGAACAACGCAACTGCTTTTGTGGGATGTGACAATGGAATAGTGAGGACTTTTACAATTAACATATTCTTTACGACCAAACCTTCATAAATCATGATAATCCTTACTGCATCATTACAACCCGGCATGATTGATTTGAAATTGCTTAGTATCTGTGTCTTGACGTGAGATAAATGTTTAACAACATTCCGTGTACATGTATGAACAACAAAACTTGTCAAAAGAAAACTTGTCAAGGAAAACTTGCTGGACCTTATTCGTTGACTGATTTTAATTAAATTCGTCAAACACCAGTATACGTATGTTGACCATCTGCAATGTGAAGAGACATTTTTACCAAGAATTTTTTTTTTGTATAATTAATTAGTGTTGCGGTTGCTACGGTCCTGTGGGAGGCACAAAAGATTACTGTGCTGGACATTGTAAAGCCATTAATGGTGGTACACTTAGAAAGAATGTGTTCACATGGTTTTGGGTGAGATCCAGTCTTCCAAAGAGACTCTGGAAGAAATGCATGGACTATCAAGTGAAGAAAGATGATGGGAAATTGATCTCGTATAAGTTGGTTGGACACAGTGTTGTTCCTGTCGAGGTATATGAATATATCTTTTTATCAACTCCTTGAGTTTGGACAAAACTTTTCACTGATCAAAGTTTTGATAAAGTCCTATAGGACTGCATGATGTCTGATTCATTTCCCGGACTTGTAAAAATTTTGATCAAGCTGTAGAGTTGGATGAGGTTTTTCAGTATCAACTCCTATAGAACTAGATGACGTTTTTGTCCGATCTGCCAGAGGCCCAGAGAGCATTTTTCGTAACTGCTCCCGGTTGGATCTGGCCGCTAGTCCTAGCGTTGGATGAAGTTTGATCAACTTTTAGGACTAAATGAAGTTTTTATCAAGTTTTAAAGCTAGAAGAGTTTTTTTTCCTAGGACTTAATTAATGAAGTTTAATCACGTTCTAGCACTAGATATAGCACTGTTGCACAAATATTTTAATATTATGCTTTTTTTATCAAGGGTCGCTGCGGGAAAGACTTCACACTTCTGCACGATGGGGTAAGTTGTGATTTCGTTGACATAGGTTTTGCCCGCCCCCCTAACCCCCTCCCCCACGTTGTGGTACCCCGCTCAGACCCCTGCTGTAACTTGCTTACCGGCCCCCCTTAAATTTTCGGCACATCCCCTCCAGAGCAAAATCAGAAAATTCGTTTAATGGTTTATATATTGAATAATATTAATCATTATTTTAGATTGTAGTCGCACCAGACTCCTCTGCCGCGCAGAAAGTACCTGAAATTGATGGTCTACTGGAATTTCGCAAGGACAAGCAAGAACTTCGTGTTAGATTGAACAAAACATGGAACGTACTGGCCCCAGAGAACAAGGTAGGACCTCATTGGTCAGTTTATATCTTTCTCGATTCACGCAGACATGAAACTGACTCGGAGCAAACCGGGTTCAGAGTTTTAGAATTATGACAGTCGGTGCATCTGTTCGGTTTATTTGTCTGCGTATCTGCCTATAGGTTTAAAGTATTTTTATTGTTTAACCATTTATTTGCGTTTTTGTTTAAGATTCTTCAAGAGACGAAAAAAACCAACAAATTAAATTTTGATAGATTGACCAAGGAACTCGTGCAAAATTTCAACAATGAAACCAAAATCGTAAGTTATCTTGGCATAAAAAGTGGGCTCGACTCGGCTTTAGGCCTATTGTTCTTAACAACGAGTGCGTATATAATTCAGAAATGGCCTATTCGCTGTTTTCATTTTAGGTTATTGAGGAGATGAACAAAAAATACAAGTTGAACTTGGATAAGATTAACAAACTTCAGCAAAACCTGACTGATGAAAAGAAATTCGTAAGTTACCTCAACTTCATATAGTCTTGTACTCTAACTCATAAAATATTTTTTCCACGTTAATACTAAAACAGTGAATTCACTTAGTTGCACTTTCAAAGACCTGTCCTTCAAGCTGTCAGCTTAATTAAGTTCCTTATCTATGTTTTGCGATGTGTTACTGACGCCGTGAGCATTGCTAATTTCATTTTGACGCAAATGCAGTTGCGTGCAGTGGTATCGAGATTTCATTTTGTTAAAAAGAAAGAATGTTTGCGAGTTCCATTTTCTAAAAATCCACAAAAATGTGTAGACCTATGTTAACAATTTTTTATTTTATGCCAATCCGTTTAGCTGGAAAATTTGATAAAGAAACATTACAATCGTACAGCGAAGAAAGGAATGACTACAACACTTGCTCCTTTAACTGAGAATCATGAAATTACTACAACACCCGTTATTCCTACAACTGGTAAGTACTCATTTTAAATACCTTCGTATTTTAGTATTCAGAATAAAAGCCGATGAAAACGTTCCAGCCAAAGACCGAAACAGTCACGGTTTTGGAATCTTTCTACTTCTCAAGTTTTAGAATTATCTACACATAATTCTAATGCTTAGGGCGCTTTCCATTAACACGACCAGACTGGTCAAAACGGTCAAATTGTTGAATGGAACACAAAACGTTTGGCTTTCGGACCTATCTGACCGGAAAATTTAGATAAAATTAAAATGAGGTCCATTTTCGCTAGATATCTGAGAAACATAGACCAGATCTTTCCATTGATACAGAGACAAAAATTCGGGTCTGGCCGGTCAGGCGATTAAATGAAAAGCGCCCCTAGTTACTTCTATTTTATGTTTCTGTAAACTAGAACAATAGTAACTAGGCGTTTATTTATTTTTTATTTATTTAACTTTGCCAACTAGGGCAGGGTCACCACAACAGCATATGCCAATTACTGTGGGCCCTTTTACCTAACCCACCCTCTCAACTTTCCCTGCGGGAGGAAACCGGAGTACCCGGGGAAAACCCACGACTTTCGGCAGAGCGTTGACTTTTACTCTTTTCACATGAGGACTGCGTTCGAGTCGCATTGAGGAAGTTTTCACTGAGGCTTGAACCTGTGGCCTTAGAGGTCGGAAAGGCAAGTGCGCTAACCACTTGGCCACCGTGAGTTGTAAATTGGGTAGCGACAATTGTAAACAATCGATTCGTTCGATTCCTGCCTGTCAAACATCAATAGCGCAGTCAATATTGCAGGGATGGATTTACTGGGGGGGGGTGCGGGGGGGGGGGGGTGCACTCCCCCCCTAGCCCTGGCCACGAGGGGTGCAGGGGGGTGCTATTTTTCATGATAAAGCAAAAAATTATCAGAGACAAAATGAGATTCAGTAATTTGAGTAATAACATGATGATAAGCGAACTGTGAACAACAATTACAATTCAAATACTGTAGCTAGACTTTGCAGTGGTTAAGCAAGTTGATGGATGTGTAAAGTCACTGGAAAGCAATTGCAACGTACTCGTCCGGAAAAAAATTTTTCCCTAAAAAGTTGTCGATGGGGGGGGGGAGGTTGTTGCTTTCCGAAAATTTTTTTTGGCGGAGCACCCCCCCTACCAGACCATGCTGGATCCATCCCTGCAATTTTGCATGTAAACTCAAGTGCTATATATCAAAATCTAAGTTAGTCCTTTCTAAGGCTTTTATAAAAATCAAACAGTGTCCAGTTTTTTGGGGGGACACCCGGTATTACCCAAATTTGTCTATTGTACTTCCCCTGATGGTGTCTTGATCTATTTTGCTTTAGTTCTTCCCCAACATAGAGAATGTGTGGTATACAAATGGCTGAACGAGAGCAACAGAAACAGGAAATTTTCACAAAGGTACGCTGCATATAATTGTGACAAGACTCTTTCCACGGGATGGTACAGATTTGGTGGAGGAGCCGGGATCAAAATGGCGACAACGTGTTCACGCACGTATAGATGTGGAACTAATGCCCCAGGCTGGATGGTTGGCGCTCATCCTACAGTCGCTCAAGGCAAGGTGGAGAGAGAAGTATGTTATCATTGGTCTAAACATGGTTGTTGCGAATTTTCAAATGACATCGAGGTGTTGAACTGTGGAAAGTTTTATGTCTACAAACTATACCCTGCTCCTGCTTGTTATTTAAGATATTGTGGATCAAATAATTGATGCACATTCTTTCCACGTGGACTAGCACTAGATTTGCACTGAGTTTAACTGGCTTACCGTAAATGTTCTATTAAACGCCCACTCTCTAATAAACGCCCACATCTATAATAAACGCCCTGGTCAACTCAAAATAGTGTAACAAACGCCCCTCTCTATTAAACGGCCCTTATCTAATAAACGCCATCCCCCCCCCCACCCCACCCCACCCCATAGGCCGGGCTTTCAAAAGATTTAATTAATAGATATATGAACAGTTAAAATACAAAACAGTTCATAGGACACAGACTTCATAATTATCATTGTTGCACGTATACTGTAGCATTAGCAAACTGAGTGAAATATATAATCTGTTTGGTTTTATATTTGTTAGTTTCCAACCTCGTCCCCAGGGCATTTTGCCTCCACGGCTGAAGGTCGGCGAAAATGGCCCTGGGATCGGCTGGTCACATGACACCCAGAATTTCTGGGTGTTTTGATTTGATAATTTATGCGAAATTAAATTTTTGTTGTTTGTTTACAAATAATCGAATTAGTATTATTTGTAAACAAACAACAAAACTTTAATTTCGCATAAATTATCAAAGCAAAAACACCCAGAGATTATGGGTGTCATTCTGGGTGTCATGTGACCAGCCGATCCCAGGGCCATTTTCGCCGACCTTCAGCCGTGGAGGCAAAACGCCCTGGGGACGAGGTTGGTCAATTTTATCTTCGCCTTTTTGGCGACATTCTTTCACTGGAAATGGGAAACCAGTATTTTAATGAAGGCTGCTTTACACGGAACAGAATAAAGTAAACTTTAGCTTCAGTTTTCTCTGCAGTGAGAACTCGAGCCCAGAAATTGAAGCCAAATTAGATGGAGCTATTGGATGTTAGTTTCAGTCCTTTGTATTGTTTTTGTGCCAAATTTCGTATTTTGACTTTAAGGACTAATACTATAGTTTTTAATATGAACCATAACTTGATTAGCGATACGGTTCGTTAGAAAAACTGGAATTAGCTGATGAGCCACAAGAGGAATGCTCTGCTTTGTTTTCACGCTTTGAAAATGTATATTTAATCTAAATTTGAAGCCATACTCATTTATGCATTATTTAAGACACAAAAGAACGATTGAGTAATTAGTATTTTTCTTTTGAATCATAATTAAACCTTCATTCTTGACACCATGCATGACGAGACTGACATGCATTTTAAGCTTTGCCTTTTATTTTACTGAAACTTCGCGAGGATATTTACTTAGAAAACTCCAAATACAGAAATTAGAATACAGATCGAAAGGCTAACATGTTTACCGAATTGGTTACGGAGTCTACAGTGTTTAGAAGAGTACATTATCAAGATTTGCAGGTATCTGTACTGTACAGTGTGTATAAAAAAAAGGTAATCTAAATTTGAGGTTAAATGGCTTAAAAATAATTTGACGAATTCGATTGATTTTTACACTGTTGTTAAGTTCAATCATTTAGCTTTTAAATGATATGTGTTTTATGTGTCATGTGTTCAAAAATGAAGGAGTATTGCTTCGGCAAAAAAGTCACCAAAAATCGCGGCATATTTCCACCGATGGGAATTGAAGACTTGAAGACAAAAGATAATGCATATTTAATCAACGAGTACAAATAATTTATTTTAATTTGAAAGGATTTACGCTTCTACGAGGTTGCATTTTAATGAGCATTGATGATTAAGTTTCTCAAAGCCTCGTGGCGCTAAATTTTAAAGGAAAAATGTGCAATTTCCGTCGGCGGAAATATGCAATTTTTGGTGACTTTTTTGCCCAAGCAATACTTCTTCATTTTTTGACCACATGACACATAAAACATATAATTTAAAAGCTAAATGATTGAACTTTGTAACAATCGTGTAACGATCAATCGAATTCGTCAAATATTTTTTAGGCCATTGCACGCCAAATTTGGACTACCCTTTTTTATGCACATGCACTGTATGAGCCAAGTTATTAATAGCTACAATCTTGAACATATAACCCTTGAGACTGTTCCAGCCAATATTGCAAAGTTAATGCACATTGACAAAACAAACTTTGTCATCCCCTCTCCGCCAGTTCAGTGTTGTAAGCAACGCCGAAACAACTCTTGGCAATTTACCATGAGACAAGCTCAACTTTGAGTTGGGGGAGCGGTCCCCTAAGTCTAAGAAGCCCAACATATGCATGGTTCAACATGGAATTTGCATATGTAAAAATCATTGAGTGTTTCTTACAGGGTGTATGAAAAAAAGAGGTAATCAAACTTTCGAGTGCTCTTGTGCGGTCAATATTGCGTGCACAGATTTAATTTTCTCATATTAATAAAGATAAGGGTTTTAGCTTTCGAATGACACCTTTTTTAATTGTATCATTTCAACTGCAAAAATGACCAAATACGAGCCAATTGAAAATTGCCGGTTGAAATCACATTTGCTGAAATCACACCTATATAGGCTATATGTACACTATTAAAGCAGTGCAGAGAAAAAGAGAAAAAAACTCTAATATATGATCCCAAGCGCAATAAATAAGCTTAAAGTTAAAAGTGAAGCTAAAGTGACCAGTTGTTATAGGGCTTTTTAAAATTAGAATTCATGAAGTTTAGATCCAAATGTGATTTACTTTCAATACTCAATAGTTTCTCACCGATTTCCCAATGGTGCAATTTGTGTTCAATGACACAAAAATGATATCATTGGTATCATCTAAAAGCCTGAATTTTCTTGCTGTGTAAAAATGTTATCGATAAATTCGATATCTAACCCACGTGAACAAGCTGAAGTTGCATGGATCACCTTTTTCTTGTACATCCTGTATATAAATTTTTCCAGTCGACGTCGAGCGCCGATAGCATGAGAGACCTAGCTCTGGGGGGGGGGGGTCTGTGGGCATGTTCTTCCCCAGAAAATGTTTGCGATTTTCTGACGTTTAGAAACGTTATTTCTCGCATTCTGATAGCGGTTTATGACTGATAATAGACATTTCTTATAGGGACAATTTTTAGCGAAAATTCGCAATGCAAAGTGTGTTTTTATGAAATTTATTGGCTCGCCAACGCTTGCATTGTCCAGTGGGACATCGCATAAATTGGCTTTCCGCGTTTGATGTCATTATGAGAAAGGTCAATTGTGTGGTTAGGCCGCAACCTCGTACCCAGGCTCTTAGCGGGAGGGCGTGCGAAGGTAAGAGCTTGGGTACGAGGTTGGGTAGGCCTAGAAAAGCGATTTCGTGGCAACCTCTGGGGAGTAGATTTTCTGTGGTTCAATCCATAATACCATAGATGCTCAATAAAACTTGCCCAATACCGAGAAAATGGGTGATCAGTGATTATCCTCTATTAAATTGTATTACAGCAAGAAAATGTGAAATTTTGTATTCAATTACAACAAAACTGATTTGCATTATCAGAAAGGTTATAAAAACCTACATATACAGTTTTTTTTTATATCTCAAATTGTTTTGAAAAACGTCAAAAACGCGTTTTTGACTTAGTACCCAGTCGTTATTGCGACATTTTGGTCCAATTTTCACATTTAAAACAGCAATAACTCAAAGACTATTTGAAGAACCAAAAAACTGTTTAATAGTCTTATATGCGGTTTTGTTTACGTTTTGCGATGATGCAAGTCATTTTTATTGTAATTGTTACAAAATTTCCCATTTTTTTTGCTGTAATACAATTTAATAGAGGGCTGATAATCATTGATCACCTATTTTCTCGGTATTGGGCAAATTTTTGCTTGGGAACTTTTTTTGGTAGTAATGTATCTATATGCCTTTCAAATAAACCACAAACCAAGTACTTGCCACATGGTTGCCACGAAGCGAAATAATTTTGGCCAACGCCACGGCCTAGGTCTATCTCACAATTATTCGCCAATCCTAAGAATATTCTTGATTCCAACATCATCAAGTGCACAATAATTTAAAAAGTGTTTTGTGGTAATATTTGGGACGCTAACCCACACTTCTCTTCTCTGGGTACTGGGGTACACCCACGAAATATTGACGTTTCAAGCGGCTGCAAGTAGAGCCCTTCATCTGAAACTGAATATGAAATTCCATTCAATATCTGGGATTTTTTCTTTGAACTTGAAGGAGTTGCTGTTTTAAGTTTTATCACGAAAATTCAACTAGTTAGCTGAATAGTTGATTTGGTTGGCTCGACATTGCAGAAAGCGGCGACTCAGCCAATGATTCGTCATCAAAAAATGCACACGCCATATGTTTCTAGCCAGTGCGGTTACCAGAGGCATTCAACCCCTGAACATCCACCATTTTGAATATTTTCAGGGGGTGAATGCTTCTCATACGCGCACTAGCTAGGAACATGGCGACAGCATTGCACTGAACGGTTACGCCAATTAAAGTCATAGGCAAAACCAAGGAGTCTGCCTTCTGTGAGGTCTCTGTTCAACCGCTCTGCTGGCCGCAATTAGTAAATTTGATAAAAGTTTAGAAGTGGATTAATCATCAAGTGTATTCTATATCAAAACATTTTAAAATAGCAAAAGACAGTTTTAAACACACAAAAATGCGTGTAAAACAATGAATTTAAAATTTTGAATAATTAAAGGACCAAATGGCACGGGAATCTTTGCATGGGTCTTCAAGCTTGGCCAAGCTAGCGTGCTTGAGATAAACAAACTCATTCAGAACCATTAGGAACTCAGGATAATATTGAGTAATTTCTTATATTAGACTGGGCAGAGAATTAACTATTTAGTAGTTATTTAGCAGGGTGGTACAATGAATTTTTTCACCAGGGAGGGAGGCAGTATTACCTAAATGCTGAAATAATAAGTATACCCAAGTGTCAATGTATTCAAAGTCATATCAGTGATTAGTCAGATGTATACTTATGCATGTAGATGCTTGCTCAAGCAATCCTCATGGAAAGAGCAATTTAAAGATGTTTTGATCATGCATCATAACTGCCCGAGGAAATATGCACTCGAAGCATAGGCAATATTTCAAAAGTTATTCAAAATGTCATGATTATGAGTGTTCAAATGGCAAACGGAATCTAATGCCAATCTAATTTCTAGTTGAACATAGCCAAAAATTACCGCTAACGTAGCCGAGTCAATAGTCCGTGCAGGTTCAATACATAGTAAACAGCTACAAAAATAAAATAAAATAAAACACAAACAAATGGGGGAAAACCAACAAAAAAATCGCATGATTTTTCGGGTCTTTGACTTTGTGCAGTTTTATGAGTACTTCGCATCTGATGCAATATGTAAAGTCGTTGCTTATTTTCAAAATTTTGAACGCATAAACTTCATTTAAACATCCTTATCCTACTTGTTTATGGGAATTACAAATATATAAAGTTCACTTATAATATCATGAGGGCTTTTATATCGCGCTTTAAAGGAATATCTTTGAGGATCTCCCAATGATTTCAAGGAAACAAGCTTATTTTGGAATGGGGAAATATGGAAACAAAGCCTGACAAATCACAGAGAACAAGGATATACATAGAAGCTTGGAGAACAAGGGAATATGGTGAAATCTTTGTTGGAAACAACGAACAAATGGAAACTTTTCAAGTGAACACGGAATCACAGACCCCCTTGAGAGACCCTCATCAATTTACTGCCGTAATATAACATTTTACCAATTATAAGTATCCGCATTTCAACTGATTTTTATCACCGTTGTTATGGTAATGCAAACACGCGCTTCTAGAGCTAAAGTGAAAAAAATACTGACAAAATCCTGGATCCGGTTGTATAATAATGTGTAGTCATCCTGGTTCCTAGGGCTTCTCGGCTTAGTGCGCGGTCCGAGGTTTTGATTAAAAGTCGGTGACCGCGAGATGAAACTGATCAGAAGCGATTGAAGTCGTTAAACGTACAAGCACAAAAATTTTGTCCAGCGAAGTTTTAAGGTAAATGTAATTTTTTGTGTATATATTTAATATCAGACTAGACAAATTTATAGGTCTATTGAAATGTAAATGTTGTCCCCCCCCCAAAAAAAATATACACCCTATCAAACTGTTGGCTAAAACGTTGCGTAAGGGCAAACGAGTTTAAAAAAAATATGTATTAGGAACCTATGGCTGTGTTATAGTTTTAAAATATGTAAAAATGTTGTAGTTCTGTTGCCACTAGTTCGGCTGTACTGGTGCGTGCAAATTGTGTCGGTCCCGAATTTCGTACCTGAGGAAAGAACGCGTTTATGAATTATGGTGCTACTGGACCACGAAACGAGTATAGTTCGTTGAACTTTATATAGCTAAATGCTAAGAATACTAGTTTTTCTATTCAAAATAATGTATTTTAAAACTTAATTTTAAGATTTTTAATAACTTTTCCAAAAGCTTGCATAATTTCCGTATTTTGGATAACTATATCAGTCAATTTCGTATGTAAGTTTTAAATGAGTGCATGAATCACGCACAAGGTTCGTTTGTAGACAAATCAAATACTAATAGCAATAAAGATGTTATATTATTATACGTTTGTTAGGATTAAATCATTTACAGCTTACTCCTCAGTTATACTTACAGGCCAACCAACAATGGAGCGGCCATTTTTTTGGGACACTTTGTACAAATCCCATGAATCTTCGTCTTATTCAAATCCCAATGCCTACTACAAATCCTATGAAAAGGACCATAACACGCTAATTGTCAGTTCCAGGACATGGGATGACGTTTATTTTGTTATTTTAATCATTATTATATACAGAGTTTTAACATTGTTGGCTCACAAGTTAAAATGTTTCCGGCATTGTTTTTAGAAGAAAAGTACTGGACGTCATGGATTTTTCCTGGGCGCTGTTTCTGTTGTGCTGCGGCTTGACCATTGCTGGAAGTGCTAGACAGGTATGTTCCTTATTCATTTCCTAGAAACTCTGGCTTGAGCTTGAATTGTGTAGTGATGACTAATGTCTTTCATGGTTTTGGTACTACATTGATTGCCATGGTACAAGCATACCTCACTCGCGAATCAAGTTCCCAGCCTTTCCACTTTGAAGGATTTTTTACATTTCAAGGAAATTTTGGCAATAGACAACTTGCATGTTAGACCAATTTTTAATCTGGGCAAAAAAAAGTAAATTCTCGTAAATAACTTATTAATAAAATGAGTAAAATTGCAAAATTTGGTTACGAAATGTTGTAATGTTGTACTAATTTCATTATGTTCTTTTTAGCTGTGGTGTTTGATTCCCTTCTCTTTACTTAGTCTAACATGCAAGTTATCTATTGCAAGTTATCTATATATATATATATATATATATATATATATATATATATATATATATATATATATATATATATATATATATATATATATATATATATATATATATATATATATATATATATATATATATATATATATATATGTGACAAATGCCAGTACTCTGCTCAGAGCCGAAAATTTAGTTTTTGTATTTAATATACCTTTTTTTAATAAACTTCTTCAAACGTAGCCGTTCTGTTTGTCACATATATATATATATATATATATATATATATAAATCCAGTATGCTAATCAACATGCTCGTATATATATATACTGTACCACAACCCAGTATATGCTCATAAGCGGCTCATATTAAATATCTTACTCAAAATTATTCTAACATCAACATGGCGCTGTAAAGAATAGTCTTACTAAGAGACTGTGGAAGAAATGTATGGATTTCCAAGTGAAAAGAGACGATGGAAAATTGATCTCGTATAAATTGGTTGGACAAAGTGTGACTCCAGTTGAGGTAAAGATGTCAAACTATATATATTTTATGAAATATAAAAAGGCAATTGTGGTAGTGATTTTGTTTCTTTTCCTCATGCATAATTATTAATGGTTTTTTTTCATTGTTTTTATCGTTTATTTTACTATTGCGTTTACTTTCGATTTGTGCTCAAGGGTAGTTGCAGTAAAGACGTCATACTTCTGCATAGTGGTGTAAGTTTCGATTTTAAGAAATATACAATATTAATGTATTCATTTAGACTTAGCTTCAGTACTGACTAGAAGACATTTATATATTGAATTATGTTTTAGATTGTAGTCGTACCAGATTCCTCTGCAGCGCAGAAGGTGCCAGCCATTGATGGCCTGCTGGAATATCGCAAGGACAAGCAAGAACTTTATGTAAGATCAAACAAAACGTGGAATGTGCTGGCCTTAGAGAACAAGGTAGGTTTGTAAGCTTTAAAAACAATCAAATTGATTCTCATCGGAATGGTCGGTTGCATGATATATTTGCTGATGTGTTTAGATATTTGTTGCACATGCGCAGTATGTGTAGACATAGGACCTTCTATATATATTTCAGTGCTGTTTCGCACGAGAAGATTGGAACCTGGTTAATTTGAATAAATGCTCTAGTTTTTGTTTTACCCAACCACTCACAAAAACTGTTTCAAAACATGTAACTGGGAATCATGGATATTCAATATATGACGACCTTAAATTTGTATTTGAGGCAGCAAAGAATATTAGGCCTCCCACTCTGCTCTCTTTTGGGAAGCTTCGCTCGCCCCAATTTTACCTGCCTTTCCATTACCCCAGCACGTAAGTGATTTGTGAGGAAAATAAGAGGGTCTGGAGTCCTCCCCCAGAAATCGTTTGGATATTTGATGCTCAATTAATGACAGCATTTTTGAAATTTTCTGGAGCATCCACAAGGGTAACGAGTAAAGGATTATGGCTATTTTTGTTAGTTTGGTGACTGCACATTTGTGTTTTAAGAACTGCACAAACGGGTTTAGAACTGCACATTTTGTGTAGAACTGCACGTTAAAATAAACCCTGATCCATGCTAATTAATTTAAACTGTCTTCCTAAAACGTAAATCAATCGAGTAATTAAGGTCTATTACCTGTTGTATTTATAGGTCAATCAACAGTTAAACCGCTTGGAAATTTTGATAAAGAAACATCACAATTTTATCACGAAGTTTAATCGTAAGTTTACCACTGTCAATTTTGTCTTTGTGATCATCAGAGTGACAGAATACTTCCGAAAGTAGCCGACCTTGGCTATAGATCTTAATCCCGAAAACGAAGCTGTATACAGTGGTGTCCAGTAACGAAGTAAATGTACTTCGTTATTGTACTTGAGTAATATTTTTGAGAAGTCAGCATGTAACAAAGTAACTTTTACTTTTACTTGGAACGAAGCCATTTTAAGAAGTAACGTTTTACTTTGTTATTTTTATTTTGTGGCGAAGTATTTCGTTACTTTCTAACTTTTGATTAATTTTACGTGATTTATTCCTGATTAATTTTAATTTTGGAATATGTAATAGGACCTCTACATACGTCTGGGATGTCTCATTAGTGGCTAACTTGTAAGCATTATTTGTGTAGTCGGGTGTAGTGGATTTCTTATATCTGCAACGGGGTCTGGAAAGTAAACCATGCCGCGAAATATGAAATATTGTATATTAGGTGCACGCATATAATGCGTGTGCTGTTTTGTGTCTTTTATATGTCAATCCATTGGACTAAAAGTCACCTCCCTCCCCCCACCCCTCTACACGCTACAGACAATAGTACTTTTACTTTGTACTTCAAGTATTTTTAAGGATACTTTTGTACTTTTTATACTTAAGTACGTTTTGTCCCCAGTACTTTCTACTCTTACTCAAGTCGTTTTATTGTTAATTGCTTTTACTTTTACTTTTACTTTTACTTTTACTCGACTACAAATTCAAAGTAATTTATGGGCACTACTGGCACCAAGTCTAGCCTGCTTAGGTACTTTCTGGAAGGGACAATTTCTTAAACCACACCTTGATTACCTGCACTTGTAACAATATGGCTAGTATTGTTTTAAATTACAGAAGCTATCCCGCATCAAGAATGCCTCGGATATAGATGGCTGACAAAACGGAGCAGAAATCAGAAATATTTACGACGCGACGGCAATTGTGACAAGAGTCTTTTAGGATGGTACAGATTTAGCGGAGAAGCCGGGTCCAAAATAGCGACATCGTGTGTGCCGACATGGAGATGTGGTACCAAGGCGTCAGGTTGGATGAATGGTGCCCACCCTACTGTTGCTCAAGGCAAGGTGACCAGGAAAGTTTGTTATAGTTGGAGGAGTAATTGTTGCTACCTGTCAAATAACATCGAGGTGGTGAGCTGTGGACGGTATTATGTCTACAAACTAGGTCCTCCTCCAACTTGTTATTTAGGATATTGTGGATCAGATAATTGAACACATTATGACACATTTAAACCGGTTACAGTGACAATCGAGTTTTTTACAGTGAGCTCCAGACGTTATATCAGGAGAATTTACCTAAAATTCAAATATGTCTGCATGAGAATTTATCTAGCTCCATATTAGGACTGTTCGGTATACCGATATACCGCATATATCGGTATTAAATCAATATCGGTATATCGATACCGGATATTCAGCCATATACCGATATACCGAAATTTCCGATATACCGGAATTTTTCGGTATACCGTATTACATTTACCAACTATATGGCAAAACCATAACCTTTATTTTACTACTGAATGGCAATTCAAAGAATTTTCTACTGAAATGATTTAGATTTCGAAACAGCTTCAAAATTATCGTTTTTTCTTTTATAATTATCAAAGGAAAACCGGTATACCGATAATATCGGTATAATTTTTTCGGTATACCGATACCGGAAATTTCTCATACCGAACATTCCTACTCCATATATATATATATATATATATATATATATATATATATATATATATATATATATATATATATATATATATATATATATATATATATATA